ACCCCAAACTTTTCTAGAGAGCTCAAAACTTAATTAACACCCAAAACTTTCAGTGAATGGCCAAAACTTTTCTAGAGAGAGCCCAAAACTTTTCTAGAGAGAGCCCAAAACTTTTCTGGAGAGAACATTTTTCCTTTCCTTAATTGTGAGGGCCAACATGCCAGTGATGTCGCCCTATACAGCGCCAGACCTCCGTACCCAATAAACATAATTCCTATTCTCCCTGCATTTTTCCCAAAGTGGCATCCTTTCCCGCGGGCTACAGCTCTTGCATACAAATGGCTTTGCATTTAATTCTTTTGGCAAGCTGCCATTTTTCGTGAGAGCAAAAGAAGAACGGGAGAAAAAGCTGGTTTACGGCAGAAAGTTCACCCACAACAGGCCTGAAAACCAGAGTAAACTCTCCAGAGACACACAAGGACTATATTTCATTCATAAAACATTCCTTGAAATATTATTTTTTTTAAAAAAGCTTTGTCGTTTTTCTCTCCCTCCCTCTCTCTTTTAAAACAGACGAAGCATCTCCATGATTTTTTTTCTTTAAAAAAAAAAAAAGGGGGAGTGAGTGAATGCGTGATTGAATGAATGGACGAGCAAATTATAAGGGAAAAAGGGCTTTGGTTCCAAAACTGAAACCTTTTGTTAATATGTCCTCTGAAAATAGCCAATCATTTCAGCTTGGTTTAGAGTCTGGCATGCTAATAATTCGAAAGGGCAGAACAGTGCCAGCAAGATGCCAAGAGAGAGGAAGTCTAACTTCTATACAACGGGAGAAAATCCGTGTTTAAGAATGCAGGGTAACCAAAAAGGGGTTATTTCATCATGAATTAATTAATACGACTCTACCTTACTATAAGGATTGTCTAGATAAGAACTATGGAGGGGGTGATATTATTCAAAAAAAGATAATTGTCGTGGCAGGAAATACATTTTATTAGATGACCTAACAATAGCTCTACTTTTTATTACAAAGTAGGTACTGTATTAACAGATATCCAACCAAGATACCCAAGCCACTGTGCACAATGGAAGCCAACGTGTTTTAATTTTTGAATTTTATTTTGAAACATCTCCGGCTTGGCATTCTACAATATAACAATGACCCCTGCCATATGGATAACATCAAACCCACAAATGTGCTATAAAAGTTGTCTTAACAGACGATCACATCCCGCCATCACTTCCCATATATGGCGAACATATTGTGGATTGAAATGCCTAGAAAATATTGCATTAGAAATGTATTATGATTAATATTTATGTGTATGTCTGTCTGTCTATATCTATCTATCTAGCTATCTAGCTATCTAGCTATCTTATATATATATCTATATCTATCTGTCTGTCTTTCTCTCTGTATTATATATATGTGTATTATATATATATATATATATATATGTCTCTGTGTGTCTGTCTCTAATATATATACCAAATTTATATTTCGCTGTTAAAGAAAGAAAGGGAGACTATTTCAAGCTATTTAGCTCCCATCAGCTAGCCATACCCTTACTTGGATTCGAACTTGGGCTGCCTGCATGTTAGGCAGTTGTATTAACCTCTGAGCCACAAGTTCTCCTCCCTTCATCAGCTTGGCGAAGACATATGTATGTATGTATGTATGTATGTATGTATGTATGTATGTATGTATGCATGCCTGTCTGTCTGTCTGCCTGTCTGTCTGTCTGTCTGTCTGTCTGTCTCTACTATATATATCTATATCTATATCTATCTGTCAGTCTCTCTCTGTCTCTCTATTATATATATACAGGGGTGAAATCCAAAATTTTTCCCTACCAGTTCTGTGGGCGTGGCTTGGTGGGCGTGGCAGGGGAAGGATATTGCAAAATCTCCATTCCCTCCCCTCCTGGGGGAAGGATATTGCAAAATCTCCATTCCCACCCCACTCTGGAGCCAGCTAGAGGTGGTATTTGCTGGTTCTCCGAACTACTCAAAATTTCCGCTACCAGTTCTCCAGAACCTGTTAGAACCTGCTGGATTTCATCCCTGTATATCTCTGTCTGACTGTCTGTCTGTCTGTGTTTGTCTGTGTCTGTGTCTGTCTGTCTGTCTGTCTGTCTGTCAGTGGTGGGTTGCTCCCGGTTCGCAAGAACCAGTAGTAAAAATTTTTAATAGTTCGAAGAACCGGTAATAACATTGGCTGGCCACGCCCCCCGAACTGGTCCCCGGCCCGGTCACCGCTCGCTTACCCCGCCCACCTCATCAGAGGCTTTTTTTTTTTTTTTTTTACTTTTGAAAGCATTTTTTCTACAACCTCTTTGGCTGAAAAAATGCTTTTAAAAGTTTTTAAAAAAAACCTCTGATGATCATGCGGCTCAACTAGGATCTCAGAGGCTTTTAAAAGCATTTTTTCTACAACCTCTTCAGCCGAAGAGGTTGTAGGGGAAAAAAAATGCCTTTAAAAGCCTCTGGCGATCCCAGCTGACTTGCCTGATCGTCAGAGGCTTCTAAAAGCAGTTTTTTTCTGCAACCTCTTAAGGTTGTAGAAAAAATGCTTTTAAAAGTTTTTTAAAAAAAAAAGTTGGCCACGCCCACCCAGTCACATTAACCCCTCCAAGCCACGCCCACAAAATAAGCCACGCCCACAGAACCGGTAGTAAAACATTTTAGAACTCACCCCTGGTGTATGTCTATCTCTGTTATATTTGTCTGTCTGTCTGTCTGTCTGTCTGTCTGTCTGTCTGTCTATCTGTATGGTGCAGGTATATATTTATGTATGTATATAGCATGTGCATATGTATGTTATGTATGTAGTGGTCAAAATTGTGGAAACCTTTTGGGAAAAGTGTATTTTTGAGGTTTGATGGCTAATAACACCACTTCTATATCTTGTTTTTTTCTACGTGTTTCATTTTTCTTCTTTATCCTGTAACTGCTATTCTAATAGCAAATCCTTCCTAAAAGTTATTGCATTCCATTCTTGATTAAATTATCTTTCCATTGATATATAATTTTATGGTACTACTCCCCCCAAAAAGTGATGTTATTAGCTAGTTTTAGAAAATACACTTTTCCCAAAAGCTTTCCGCAATTTTGGCCACTAATGAATATATGGTACTCTCTTGAGAGCAGGCAACAGAATTTCATTTTTAATGTGGGCCGGTGTGCTCTCAGAATAAAAAAATGTCAATAAAAGTTATCTTATCTTGTTGTTATTATTGTTATTATTTTGCCTTGTTTTTCTGTCGTTGGAGAGAACGATATATATATAAGCTTCAAAGGCTGAATAGATTCTGGGGTTTTTACCAGATTTTACCCGACATACAAAGCGATAGAAACAAAAATATTTTTTTTCCTGTTGATCCAAACATTATCCAGTGTGTGCTTTACGAAAAGGCAAACACTCTTCCTCCGGAAAAACACAATAAAAATTACTCTGAGCTGCAACGTTTCTAGTTTTGCATGCAATCCCACCTCAAAAAAGTTCCCCAAAAAATAATAATAATTAAACAGGATGGTTGACCTTAACGTTTGTTCTCTTTAAAATTCCCTTTTATTGAGGTTTATCACGACGTAAAATACAATGGAAATAAAGATTTTAAAAGGGTGGGAGGGGAAGTGCAGAAAAAAAAAAAAACCCACCAAGATCAAAAAGCATCATCCTCCAAAGCTTTCTATTTAAGTAAAATGCTAATTACATTTAAAGTCTCAACTTTAGCATTTAGTGATTACAAGCCATTTCCGTAATGACACAAACATTTAATTTTCAAACTAAATTTAATTTTTTTCTTCTTATTATTTTGAGCCTAAAACCAGAAGCGGTTTTTCCAATGGAAACACGACCCAATAAAATCTCAACCCTTGAGCTGCAAATATTCTCCTTTCTTGAAATCTCTTTGTTTAAAACAGTTTACATTTCCAAACGCAACCAAATCTATTTTTTTCACCTACCCATTTTTTTTCCCCCCCTCCTGACTTTCGTATTTGTGAAATGAATCTCTGGGGATTTGAACATGTCTGTGAAGAGCCTTGGTAGTACAGCGGTCTAAGGCACCCTGTTATTAAGCTGGTTATTAAGACCAGCTGCCTGCAATTACTGCAGGTTCAAATCTCGCCAAGGCTCAAGGTTGACTCAGCCTTCCATCCTTTCTAAGGTAGGTAAATTGAGGACCCAGTTGTGGGGGCAAAAAGCTGACTTTGTATAAAATATACAAAAGTATGAAGGCTATTGCTTAGCGCATTGTTAGCTGCCCTGAGTCTCCGGAGAAGGGCGGCATATAAATCAAAATTAAAAACAAAACAAAACGGCAGCTTAAAAGAAGTAAAAAAGACTATTTCGTACACATCAAACGGTAAAAAAAGAAATACAGGTAGCCCTCGAATTATAACAACTCGTTTAGTGACCGTTTGAAGTTACAACAGCACTGGAAAAAGGCACTTAGGATCGTTTTTCACACTTATGACCATTGCAGCATCCCCAGGGTCGTGTGATCAAAAGTCAGACTTGGCCACTGACTCATATTTATGACGGTTGCAGTGTCCCGGGGGTCACGTGATCCATTTTTGCGACATTCCAACAAGCAAAGTCAAGGGGGAATCCAGATTCACTTAACAACCGGGTTGCTCACTTAACAACAGCAGTGATTTACTTAAGGATTGTAGGAAGAAAGGTCGCAAAATGGGGCAAAGCCCACTTAACAACGGTCTGGCTTAGCAAGGGAAATGTTCGGGCTCAACTGTGGTCGCAAGTCGAAGGCTACCTGAATCATCATCATCATCTTCTTTTAACGATCCCATAATCCCTTGCGGGGTGGAATCTGGGCAACCAAATGGAGCTGAATGTTTACTGGCCGAATGCCCTTCCTGTCACCGATGCGGAGTTTTGTTCGGCAGATATATTCTCATTGTGCCCAGAGAGATAGAGAGAAATATCTGCTTCTACCTAGGATCGAACTCACAGCCTCCCGATTGTGAGGCGAGAACTCCACCTCTAGGCCACCGCATCACTTCGAGGTGGTGTATGCGAGAGGAAATTGAAATACCTTTCTCATCTGGGTTAACAATCCTTCGAATTCTTTCAGGTTCAGTGGCGGTCCGTTAAAGTGAGTGCTGTTGTTTGCAGTTTTCCCCAGCCAATAGATGGTGACTAAAACCTGAGGAATTGAACGGACGTTAATTGGAACACATCAAAACCACCAGATCAATTCCATGCTACAACAAGTTTTTTTACTCTTTCCGGAGCAAATTAAATACGTTCCCTGGTTATTTTTTCCCCTTTAAAAATTGACTATTTTCCCCAAAAGCAAGATAGACGCTTTCCCTCACGTCAGAAACGAAAACGAGCGTTGAATTAAACGTCCATCCCAATTCAATTTAATAGCCATGTTGTTGGGTGCTGAGGGTACGACGTCTAATTCTTTCTCTTCCTAACCTGCTTACTAGCCTTTCCTAGGCCTCGACTTACAACAGTTTGCTTGTTCTGCCCCAGCTACGGACCCCAAAGAACGCAGCACACACAAAGTCCGTTCAAACCTTGGTTTAATAAATAAATCAGTCTTTTACAACAACGGCTGTTAATTAACTGCATTAACAGCCGCCAAGAATTCAAAGAATAATAACTGAAAGCTTACTATGGTTGGCAGAATGCCCAGAAGCAATTTGCAGGAAGCTGATAAGATAAGCAAGACAAGACACGAAGGTATGTGAACGAAGTTGTTCTCTGCAAATTGCTTCAGTCGGCGTTCCTCCTTAAATAGGCTAAGGGAGTGGCCAATTAGCCCCAAGCCTTACTCTCGAGGAGACCTCCTCCTGAGGAGCCACTCCTGCCTTTTGGCAGCTCTGCACGCCCGTGCATCGAGAAGAGGCTCCTCCTCTTCGTCCTCTTCACTTATGGGAGCTTCTGGAGGTTCTGAAGGCCCTGGCTGAATCCTCGCCTCTGGCCCCACATCTTCTCCAGCCTCCTCATTGTCCAACTCGAGTGCCAGCTGCACAGGCTGCTGGCGCAGCACCACACCAGCCTCCTCGCTGTCGGAATCAGCTATTAGCTGCACAGGCCGCTGATGGGCCAAAACGTCACTTAGTGACCGTTCGAAGTTACAACGGCGCTGGAAAAAAGGTACTATAGGACCGTTTTTCACATTTACGACCGTTGCAGTGTCTCCGTGGTCCACATGATCAAAATTGGGACATTCGGCAACTGACTCATATTTATGACGATCGCAGTGTCCCGGGGTCACGTGATATCCCCCTTTTGCGACCTTCTGACGAGCAAAATCAATTGGGGAAACCAGATTCACTGAAGGACCGTGTTACTAATTTAATATCTGAGGTGATTCACTTAACAACGGCAGCAAGGAAGGTCATAAAAGGGGTCCAAACTCACTTAACAACTGTCTCGCTCAGCAACAGAAATTTTGGGCTCGATTGCAGTCCTAAGTCGAGGACCGCCTGTATTTATAAATGTTGCTTTGTTTATATATCTTACTACACATAGTAAGAAGGATGGGGCCATATTTAGCAGCAGTTTGGAAGACAGGATTAAACCCTGAAATCCGTAATTCTAAGTAAAAGAAATGTACAAATAAATCTTGGACTCACAACAGTACATTTAAAAAAGTGACTTTTGATCCTTTTTCACACTTACGACCGCTGCAGTATCCCCCTGGTCACGTGATCAAAATTCAGGTAACCTTATTCAGGTGACTCATACTTATGACGGTGGCAGTGTCCCGGGGTCATGTGATCCCATTTTGCGACCGTCTGACAAATTTTGGGCTCAATTGCGGACATAAGTCGAAGATTCCTTGTATATATAAATGTGCTATATTTATAAATCTTACTATACAGAGTAAGAGAGACAGGGTCAGTGGTGAAATCCAAATTTTTTTACTACTGGTTCTGTGGGCTGTGGCTTTGGTGGGTGTGGCTTGGTGGGCGTGGCAGCAGAAGGATACTGCAAAATCTCCATTCCTATCCCAGTCCAGGGGAAGGATACTACAAAATCTCCATTCCCACCCCACTCTCGGGCCAGCCAGAGGTGGTATTTGCCAGTTCTCCAAACTACTCAAAATTTCCGCTACCGGTTCTCCGAACTACTCAAAATTTCCGCTACTGGTTCTCCAAACTGCTCAAAATTTCCGCTACCGGTTCTCCAAACTGCTCAAAATTTCCGCTACCGGTTCTCTGAACTACTCAAAATTTCCGCCACCGGTTCTCCGAACTGCTCAAAATTTCCGCTACTGGTTCTCCAGAACTTGTCAGAACCTGCTGGATTTCACCCCTGGACGGGGTCCATATTTATAGTAGCAGCAGTTTAGAAGACAGGATTAAACCCTAAAATCCTTAATTCTAAGTAAAAGAAAGATATAGGGGGCCCAATACCTGATTAATCCCAAAATAGTTAAGTAAAACGGAGAGGCTCTAATTAAGTGAAGGTTTTTCTTTTTTTTAAATGACGCTTCCTTTCTGCGAGATATTTCTCGCTTTCATAATCCACCTCTCTCGGCATTTATTAAAGAAGAGCGATTTCCTGCAAATCCCATTGTAGAGCTTGTAACCTTTGAAAACGACGATCAGATAAGCGACAGGAAATTTCCACTCGCGGGAATAAAAATTCACCGAGCAGAGAGAGGACGGACACACCCATTTATAATTGTGTGAACTGAAAACGGTTCCCACTTTTCTAACATTTAGGAAGTCCAGCTTTTCTATATTATCATTTCCGGTAAAGGAGGAGTTGGAGATACGGTGGTGTTTTTTCGGGTTCCCCCCCCCTCCCTGCTTCCATTCAAGAAGCTTGTCGGAGCTATTCATCGTTGGCTTCCTAAGGGCGAATTGAAAAAAAAATAAAACAACAACCCATAAATGAAGAGTTGAAATATTAAAATGGAAGATATTTTATTATTTATTTATTTATTTATTTATTTATTTATTATCAATCAATCAATCAAATTTCTATACTGCCCTACTCCCGGAGGACTCAGGGCGGTGAACAGCCAAGATAAAATACAGATAATGCAAACATTAAAAGTCCCTTAAAATTATTAAATATTTTGGCCAAAACACAGATTAAAACACCCAGTTTATAAAACAAATCAAACGAATTAAAAATTTAAAAGGGAGAGTTAGGGTTATTTTAAGGGTTATCCAAACTGGCAGAGAGGCAGAGGTGGGCTCGGACCGGTTCAAGTGAACCGGTAGTTCCGATCAGCGAGTAGGCCCCCACCCCCCACCGCCCCACTATTCCATCCTATATTGCCGTTCACGAGTATGTGCGTACATGTGCTCAGTTTTTTGGTGCTGGGAGAACCGGTTGTTACGTTATGTGACACCCACCTCTGCACAGAGGGGAGATCTTACTGGCTAGATGTAGGTTCAGAGACCGCATTTAATTTTATTTCTTTGCATCCCTCCTACATTATTTTTACAAATAAGGGGGCAAATCAGGGGTAAAATGTTCCCGGTTCGGACCGGATCACCCGATCCGGTAGTGATGGCAGCAGGTGGTTCGGAGAACCGGTAGCAAAAATCCCTGCGCCCCCCACACCATGCTCAGCTGAGTCGTATGATCATCAGAGGCTTTTTTTTTTTACTTTTAAAAGCATTTTTTCTACCTCTTCCGACAAAAAAATGCTTTTAAAAGTAAAAAAAAAAAAGCCTCTGATGATCACGCGGCTCAGCTGGGATCGTCAGAGGCTTTTCAAAGCATTTTTTTCTGCAACCTCTTTGGCCGAAGAGGTGGTTAAAAAAAAATGCTTTGAAAAGTCTCTGACGATCCCAGCTGAGTTGCCTGATCGGCAGAGGCTTTTCAAAGCATTAGAAAAAATGCTTTGAAAAGTTGTTTTTTTTTAAGTTGGCCACGCCCACCCAGTCACATTACTCCTTCCCACCAAGCCACGCCCACAGAACCGGTAGTAACACCTTTTACATTTCACCCCTGAGGTAAACACGCTCTTTTCTCGTCCTCTTTTCCTCACAAAACACTGGGAGGTTGGCTGGGCTGAGGCAGAGTGACTGACACAAGGTCCACCCAGCTGGCTTTCGTGTTTGAGGCGGGACTAGAACTCTTCATCTCCTGGTGATTGGTCCAAGATCACCCAGCCGGCTTTCGTGCCTGAGGCGGAACTGGAACTCGTGGTCTCCCAGTTTCTAGCTTAGTATATTAACTGGCTCCTACTCTTCCCCAAAACAGTGCCTTGTAAAAAAAAAATGTTGGACTACCGTTCTCAGAATTACCAAAATATGACCCTCTGCCTTGATAAGTGGGAGTTGTAGGCCAAACATCAGGAAGTTGCGATATTCAGGATGTCCAAACTAGGTAACATCATCAGGTGTTAGCAATACGTCTTATTGCTAACACCTGATGATGTTACCTCGTTTGGTAATGAAACATCTACAAGAAAACCATCAAGCTCAGAGAGCAATAAGGACCCCACAGTTCTCCTCCTCCTCCTCCTCTCCACACACCCTACCCTGTTTCCCCCCAAATAAGACCTTCCTTGATAATAAGCCCAATCGGGCTTTTGAGCGCATGGCAATAAGGCCAAGCGCTTATTTCAGGGTTCAAAAAAAATATAAGACAGGGTCTTATTTTTGGGGAAATACGGTAGATACAGATGATAGATAAATAGTAAGACAGACAGACAGATAGGTAGATAGGTAGGTAGACAGACAGACAGACAGACAGACAGACAGACAGAGACCCTGTTTCCCCCAAAACAAGACATCCCCTGATAATAAGCCCAATCGGGCTTTGGAGCGCATGGCAATAAGGCCAAGCGCTTATTTCAGGGTTCAAAAAAAAATATATAAGACAGGGTCTTATTTTCGGGGAAACACGGTATTCTCTTCTAGCACTGCTGATGTTACCTAGTTTGGTAATAAAATGTCTGCTAGAAAACCACTAAGCTCAGAGAGCAACAGGGACCCTACAACCTTGTCTAAGGCACAAATAGGGTTCTTTCGGTCAAACAGGTAGTTTAATCTGTCTCCAAAACCGACAATGAGATTTCGAAAACCAATAGAGTTTAAGGAAAGGTCGAAGTTCATCCCTAAGGAACTTCGTTCCTTGTTGCGTTCTTCCCAATGATGCCATATTCTGACTTCTATGCCTTTGATGCTCTATTGAGCTTCTATTTACAGAGAACAATTCCCA